AAAAAAAAAACAGGAAAGGCAGAGATTCTAGAAGGATCATCACTCGTACTTCCAGTTGCTTTTGATTTCAAGTTCCTTGGGATATGTGGGACATAATCCGTTTGAGGGTTAATAGTGTAAATATTCACACTACACCCTGCTAAACATATCGAAATTTCGTATGATTAGATCCAGCAGTAAGGGAGTTACGACTGAAATCACGACTGAAGAAGCATTTGGTCTAATACTTTTGAGCGCTACTGTAGACGCGCAAGGTCCCGGTCTGGACGCCGAGTGGTATGACGTAATACGAATACCAAAGGGCATTTCATCCTCACTCATTCGTGATTACTTTCCCATTGATATTGATAATTCTTTTTCCTAATTCTTTTCCTCTTCACATCTGATGGCTCCAGTCCTTTTTACCACTTCCCTGACGCCATGCACGTACAAGAGGGTCAGTTGAAAGGGGTTGTCATAGTTAGCGGATTAAAGACACGGGTCACATGTTGCGCAGAGTAACTATGCCTTAATCCGTCCAATTGGGCCAGACTAGGGATGAAAATTCTGTTTTGTACCTGAGTTTACTCCCATATTAGTGATGTAGGCAAGCTACACGACTGAAGCCGCAGGAAATCGATTGTAAGTCGTATTCCAAAGAGACAAATCAATTCCGAGCTACTTTTCAACGGTTTCTGTTCGAGTAAACTTTTGTATCGATTGAAATTTAATTGGATTTGCTGTTGAATAGTGGGTGACGGGCATTGCTCCTGTTCAGCCAGCTCCTCGTTCAACTCACTAACTCACTTGGAAAATTTTGAAACTCTTTCACAATCCAATTAGGTGTTGGAAACCGAGACTCAATAAGCCGATGATCCAGATTCGAACCAGTGATCTCCCATATTTTACGTGTTCTCGGGCAGATTTTGGTGGCATTTCTACGATAGTGAATAGGCTCTTTCACGACATGAGGAGGAGACCGGTATTAATTATAGAATGGCACAAAGTGGGCCAATATTGACATTACTATATCGACTTTACTCTCAAGAGTAGGCTTCATGTTTTTTGCTTACATTGGTCAAACCTGTTTGTAGAGCAGTGTTTGTGAAAAATTGTTGTGTGCTCTGATCAGTTCGACTCGATTTTGAGGCCTATCTACGTAACAATTTCGATATATGGCGTGTCGTTCCAGGCTGACTACAATATGTCGATGGCACGCCGGCCCGAGTCAACCTCAAGGATAGTGGGAGGAGCGGCAGGAAATGAACACCCTTTGACTAGAAGGCCGTCGTCAAGTGGACTTGTGTCACCATTTGGAATAATTGAGTAAGTTACTCAATCGAATCTTGGAAACCGAAGGTGGCGATTCTTGGAGTTTGGGTTTTTACGACTACGCGTGTGTCGGTGTTGGTAAACACGATGGTGTAAATACTTTTCTATTATCCAATGAGCAAGCTTGTTTTCCATTTAGCTTCAAATTCTAGGGTGAGGTCACGGTTTAATGAGTGACCGTAAGCAGGGCCCTTCATATTTCTTCGAATTGACTTTAGTTGTGTGGCTCTTCGGGTGGTTGCGTGAGCATTGTTTGCACAAAGTATTTGCTATTTGTATCTAGATTTGCTCACTGTTGAACTCCTTTCAAAAAGTGTCCCACACTTGCTTAACCCCACGTGGACTGAATTATATCGATCGGGGAACAATATTTGACATGGTCTGGCTTTCAGTGGTGGCTCTTTTGTGGCTGAACGTCGAGAGTCGGCTCGTTACAAATACCAGCTTCGTGCGGTAAGCGAACATCGCGGTGTACCCCAAAGTGGACATTTTGTGACTTACCGACGAGGAATTCACGACCCTCACACGTGGCACCTCACTAATGATGCTAAGGTGAGACTTTCTTAGTTTCATTAAATTCTCTTGATAGCATCAGCTTAATATCGCTTACTTTGCTGTTGAATACCATAATTCCGCAGGTGTTATCTCTATCTGCAACCGTCTTTCCGTTCGGAGGCGTACGGATGAGGTCGCCCACGCTTGATCGCTTTTTTATTTCTTCAAACTATTCCACCCTTTAAATGATTTCTCCCATGTTGGTACTTTAAATTAGTTCATTACTAACGCAGGCCTTACCTACTCACAAAGGGGGTATGTAGGGACGATTCGAATGTCATATCTTGACTGTACCCGAAATTCTGCATTTAGATTTTTTGACAAGCAATCGTTGATTGACGTCAACAGGTAATGATCAATAGTGAAAATTTCCTGCCGCTGATGTTTCGCATAGAGCCAACATTTTTCACCTTCCACCTGTCCAATAGACGAGCGCCACCCCGCGCTTTTTAGCGCTCTAATTGCCTTTCGGCCACGTTTCCTCGCCTGTCATTCTGTATTACATCCCATGTTTGGCTTAGATAAGTGAGCTTCCTACTGCCTAGAACGGTAATTTCGCATAAACTCATTCAGAAAATGCTAGAATTGTACGGCAATATGCGAGAAGTTAAGGCTTACAATACAGCGTTACTTAAGGAGACCAACTGCTGAGGAGGAACCCTTTGAACTTTGTGGTAAACAATCAGCGTAGAGATCGAAATTGAAGGGTCTAAATTGTAGCGCAGAAACGATTTTCCATAGCGGTGGCATTGAGTTCGCGCTATCGATCTTCACCGGCTGGGAAGCTTGTCGCTTGTCGCAAGTTGCTCGTCGCCGACTCTAAATGCGGACACATTGCCCACTCGCGTCATCTGTTTCGTATGATAAATTGGTCTCCATTTTCTCAAGTAATTTATCAGTTTTCTTACCCCACTTCAATCGACATGCGAAATGAATAGCTTTATCCTCACCGGAACTAGTCTCCCTTCATCTCATGGATTGTTAAAAGCCGATATTCTAACTGAATACCTCCTCGTGTATTCACTTCTGTATTCTGCTATTTAATGAATGTAATTTCAGGTTAAGCGAGTACCATACTCTCAAGTATCTTCCGCTCAAGCTTACATGCTATACTACGAGCGTATTCAACCAAATCGATGGTATAAGCAAAGTAATGTACTACTCAGACCTTGAACAAGGTTTACTGGTAACTGCCTTATAGTCAGACNGTTGCTCGCCGCCAACTCTGAACGTAGAGGCATTGCCCACGCGTCATCTGTTTCGTATGATAAATTATTTTCCATTCCCTTAAGTAATTTGTCAGATTTTTTATCTCACTTTAATCGACATGTGAAATTAATTTCTTCATGGTCTCACCGGACTAGTCTCTCTTTACCACATCGATTGTTAAAGGTCAATATTCTAACTAGATGCTAATACCTCCACGTGTTCTCAGGCATTTATTCCGCTATTTAACCAAATATAATTTCAGGTTAAGCGAGTACCGTACTCTCAAGTATCTTCCGCTCAAGCATACATGCTATACTACGAGCGTATTCAACCAAATCGATGGTATAAGCAAAGTAATGTACTACTCAGACCTTGAACAAGGTTTACTGGTAACTGCCTTATAGTCAGACGAGGGTTCTAGCGTCTCGATGAGTTGTGTCAAAGATGTTTCTCTTTAGCTTTCTGAGCTTTAGTTATTTTTCTTGAGAAAGTAAGTTTAACGGGGATACCGTTGCTGAAAAAGGGATATAATGCTGCAATGTGGTGGCTTAACGTCGGATTTATTTGTAGTTCGTGAAAGAATTCATTCCAATACATAGTTTTTGGTTTAGCGGATGAATACAAGTGATAATATATTGATCGAGAATGATTAGCCTTATATGACCTTCTTTAATTTTTCTTTTGTTATTCTCTCCACTGGTTTTTATGGTCCAAAATACATTGTTATGTCTGTGGCCTAATTTCCCTCTACTCCTATTCTGGTACACCTCTCACGGGTGTCTTGGGTGCATGAACATACGTTAGTCCGCTGAACGAGATCTTCCATTCCGGACTGTTGCACCATTATTGATTTATTGATTTTTCTTGAATGTCGTGTAGTGCCAAGTTGAATGTAACCAACAGTGACTATAATGAATTAATAAAGAGTTATAGTTTTTTTGAATATTGTGGAATGGAAGTTAATATACTGCTCGATACCTGAAGATATCAGTGCTGCATATTCTTCGATGTAGATAACTATTTTATATAGAATATGAGTGAATCACTACCGGACAGTGTGGACGTAATCGTTCTCGGCACTGGATTGACGGAGTCGATAATCGCAGCCGCATGTTCCCGATCTGGCTTCAATGTACTTCATCTAGACAGGTATGTTGCGGCTCGGTTTTTTGGACAGTTTGTTTGTGTACAAGACATTAACGGTTAATTATCAATCTATCAGGTCCCAAATGTGTATATTACATTGATGGCGTAGGTCATTCTTTGCTGACTTTCTCAGAATGAGGTGACTAAGCATCGCAATAGCATATATCATATCACTGTAAGGTGATCTCATCATATGCTTCAGCGATAAGCTAGAATGGTAAATAACGAGACATGAAAACATGTTTTGAGAAATTCCTTTCTCGAAAGTTACGCAATAGGGCATCTTCCCAGTCTGTATACGAAGCCCGTACTTGTAAGTGCCTTACCGTTTCTCTTATCCTTGGGAGTTACATTGCTATATGTAGTTTGTAGTAAACTCGCTGTGAACTAGCTGAGTTAGGGATTTATTTATTCTTGCGGTTTTGATGAGTGGATGGAGTCCCTCAGTGGTTACAATATTTTGAACCATATGCATTCTGCATTTTCAAATAGCATTTAAGCAATTCAGTTTGGTTCTGAATGACCTTTGATTGTTCCCTGGTATCCAAGGTCAGGTTGCTGTAATTTTTGACACTCAGGAATAAGTTCTATGGAGGCGATTGGGCTTCGTTCAATCTCACGACAATCGGTGATTGGGTGGAGCAGCAAAAGGCATGTTTTTCTTCGGATTTGCTTGATCTTTTTTAGCTACTTCTACTTCTTGTCTCTTTTAAAGGCACTGTTCACGAAAAAATGGTTTCGGAGATCTGCACGTCGTTTGAATTCGACGCCCCCTCTGATACTATTTGTGCAGGAATGAGGTCGGAAAACGGTCTGGATAGGGCACAGTAAGGGCAGG